CTGGCTATGTGGCAACATCCTGGCCTCCTCATTGGAGAGACTGCCCTCTGCACATTGCAGATGAGCTCAGTGGCAGCTGAAAGCTCTGATGACCCTCCTCAATAGTCTATATGCAATATTTGGAGGAAAAAAAGCCACTTCATATTCCGAAATGAACTTCAAAAATCTAAAAACATGATTTAAAACACAGACTACATAAAAAATAAATTTGTGGTAAAGGTACTAGAGCTATTCAATTAAAGTTATTGTTCTTAGTTTCTGTAAGTGATTATAAAAATGTGATTGTAAAATGAATGGCTGAAGATTCTTAGAGCAGCATCTTAGCAGCAGAAAATGTCTTCCAACTGCTTCTACATTTTCATTTATCTCTTTCAACCTTCACTGTGATGTGGGCACTCTCAAAAGTTCACAGAAGTGGCCTGGACTGAAAAATTTGGGGAACCAAGTTCTAACCATGGGTACAGGGCGAGACCTCCTTACCCAGTCCAGTAAGCACTGTAGTACAGGCATATTCATAATAGAAACATATGCATCCTCTGTGTTTTTCTAACAGCTTCTGAAGTGTTCATCAAGCCTGTGTCTGATTAAGCACTTTTAAATTCTGAGCAATGAAATGGTTCCTCTCATACCCTCTTGGCAGGAGTACAAATTGATACAACCCTTTTGGAGAGCCATTTGGCCATATGTATAAAAATTAAAAATGCATATAGCCCTGGCCAGTGTGGTTCAGTGGTTAGACTGTCAGCCTGTGCACTGAAGGGTTGCAGGTTTGATTCCCAGTCAAGGGCATGTACCTGGGCTGCAGGTTCAATCCCTGGCCCTGGTCGGGTGAGTGCAGGAGGCAACCAATCAATATGTCTCTCTCACATTGATGTTTCTCTCTCTCCCCGCCTCCCCATCCACTCTTTCTGTAAAAGTCAATGGAAAAAATATCCTCAGGTAAGGATTAACAACAACAAAATTGCATATAACCTGTGACCCAGAAATGCCAGTTCTGAGAATTTATCCTACAGATATACCCTCCCAAGTCCACAGAAGCGCACATGGAAGAGTGATTCTTTATAGTTTAACTTATTAGTAAAACCCTGCAAGCAACCAAATCTATCAACAAGGAATTAGTTGAGTAAACTGTAGGCTACCCATAAGATGAAATACTAGGAAGATGTTAAAGAGAATGAGTCCAGGCCTTATGTACCACCAGGAGAGGCACACACACACCAAAATAACTTGCAGAAAAACAGAAGATTTCCGTTTTTATACAAATCATTAAGGATGGCAACCGCATGGAGTGTTTCTGGCCAACAGGTTCAGTTCTTGGATTCCTAAATTGTATTAAAAACCTTGAATTCTAAATGAAATAATCTGGGAGTCTCAATTCAGTTTCTGACCTCGTCCCCTCTTCTTTCCCAGCCCTAGAATCAAAGAATAACTGAAAAGTAACTCAAACGCCAATGTAAGACTCCATACCTACTGGTCACAGGACATAAATGATACTTTTGAAAAGTGACCCTTCCAGACTTAGAAAAACCATTTGTCAAAAGAGAAGCACTGAAGACGGGTTTCTGACCACAGTAATCACAAGGCGGGGTTCATCTTCTCTTGTTTGTATATTCAAATTGCATGTATTAGAGTTTATATCTTGAATTTATATATTTACCTCCCCACAATACTGGCCTTAATATCCAGGCAAGCAGTGAAGTTAAAATACCCAGGCTGCATCCAGCAGAAACCCTCAACTCCTAGAAGAGACAGCTACTGGGTTTTCAATTCTGGGCTTTTCAAATGTTGCAAGCCAGGTTTGATTCTTACTATTGATGGCAGAGATGCTCGAAGCAAAGGCCATTCCAGTGGGAGTCAGTATTTGTGGCATATCACAGGAAAGTTACTCCCTTTGAATTTTACTGAGAATATTTAAAATAGATTACAGTAGGTTATGATTGTGACAGATTTTATTAGAGGTCAGTGATACCCCCGTTCCCCTCCCCCAGGAGAGGAGTTCACTTGAGGTTGGGTTTGGCCTCCTGTCTGGCTTTGGCCAGTGGAAAGTGAACACTGTGACGTGAGCAGCAGCTTTAAATGAGCGCGCACAGATTGGCTCAGCCTCTTGCACTTCTGCACCCTGCCAGGCACAGACGTTGCTTTAGGGAAGCTGTCAGCCCAGAATGATGAAACACTGGAGCACACTCGAACACAAACTGCATCCTCGAGCCAGGCCCGGCCGAGACGCTGGAGACTGGCAGTCCAGTGAGCAGGAAACACAAGTTTGTTGTTGTAAGCTCTGGGGGTTATTAGTCAGCATTATTGAAGCAAAACTTCCATAACACATGGCTTGACAGCCTTGGACCCATCGCTCAGCTTTACCAAATCTTGTCGTAGGTCTCATATTTGTTTCTAGTCTTTTTTTGTCTTGTAAGATAAACTATTTCAGAAACATTTGAGGGTCCTCTTGGTACCCTTCCCCAGTCCCATCCATTCCCAGAGGGAACCGCTCTCATGCAGTTAGTGTTATCATACTCATGTTTGTTTTAAACACTTGCTATACATTTATATATCTATAAACATGATCTACTTTAGAAATATCAAGCTGTATGTATCCTCTGCAATTCTCTTCTCACCCATCCCCCAACACTGTATTTCAGATTTCCCCATGGACATGCTGGCTCTAGTCTACTCGCTTTAACTACTGTAGCCCTGTGTATACCACAATGTAACTATTCTCTTTGAATATTGAGTTCCTTGCTTTTCTTTAAGACTAGCTTCTCTGTGGAATCAGTAGACAAAAAGTGGGTGGCTGACTGAACTTGCACACATGCGATCTGCCAGGTCGGGTTAGCGAACAGTTGCCCGTGTCTGTGCTCCAGACCCTCACTGGAGCTGCTCCCAGGAGCCCACAGTGCCCGTGGCCTTGGGCACCTCCGATTTCCACTGACCTCTGGCAACATCTGAATGCACTTTCTACTGCTCCTTCCACATCTCACTCCCCAATAAAGCTCTTCACACTTTATCTTTTTGATCATTAAATAATTTTAAGTTCCCGGTCAGGACTGAAATGTTGGCTAGAGAGTTAGAAACAGGAGAAAGTGAATGAAGACTGTTAATCGCCCTCTTTCTTCCTCACACAGCAATTTTTCTAACAGATGCAATTACACTCGAGAGCGGCAGAGAATGGAATCTTATGTTTTATTTCTTTATTCATCATTTTACAAATGGGATTCGCTGTAGAAAGGAAATTGCCTTTGTAGTTCATGTCTCCAGGCCGAGGGCTCTGCGCCTCAGTTGCACACCGGCTGCCGCTGCCCCCTTGTCTCTGGTAGGGGAGGGCCAGCCCGGGGGAGGCTAAGAATCAGGCAGAGCTCAGGTCCATTTAGGTTCAATATATTTTTATTCTTTGTAAATACAATGAGTACAACCTTTTAACTTCACAAATCAGTTAATTCACTTTGTACAAGAAAAGTTTTACTCAACCTATGATAGTCCAAGTGCTGAATATTTTTCCTCAGTGCTAGAACCTACTAAATCAAAATGTGAAAAGGGCAGCAGCTATCTTAAAGGGTTTGCTTCTACATTTCCNTGTGTGTGTGTGGTGTGTGTGTAGTGTGTGAGTGTGGTGTGGTGAGTGTGGTGTGTGTGGTGTGTGTGGGAGGAGGTGTGGTGTGTGTGTGGTGTGTGTGTAGTGTGTGAGTGTGGTGAGTGTGGTGAGTGTGGTGTGTGTGGTGTGTGTGTGTGTGCGTGGTGGGTGTGTGTGTGCCTGGTGTGCGTGGTGTGTGCGTGGTGTGTGTGGTGGGGGGGGAGGTGTGGTGTGTGTGTGTGGTGTGTGTGTAGTGTGTGAGTGTGGTGTGGTGAGTGTGGTGTGTGTGGTGTGTGGGGGAGGAGGTGTGGTGTGTGTGTGTGGTGTGTGTGTAGTGTGTGAGTGTGGTGTGGTGAGTGTGGTGTGTGGTGTGTGGGGGAGGAGGTGTGGTGTGTGTGTGTGGTGTGTGTGTAGTGTGTGAGTGTGGTGAGTGTGGTGAGTGTGGTGTGTGTGGTGTGTGTGGTGTGGGGGGGAGGTGTGGTGTGTGTGTGTGTGGTGTGTGTGCATGCACACACTCAAGGCTTCACCAGAACCCAGCTTTCTGAAAGGCATGGAGTCTCGGGCGTTAGCAGTGAGTCCAGCGAGAAGCCTGCGGGCTGGTCCCCTCGAGGCCCGCCCAGCGCCGCGTCT